ATAAACTAATTATGCGACCCAATTGATGTGTGCCACGTAGGCAACGTTGTGACCCTTGTAGAACCCGGCCTATGGAAGGCCAGGGGAGGGACTAGCGTTCTAGGAGACAAATATGCTAACTAGCAGCCCAGGTGTGCCATTCAAGTCTCTCTTCTGCTGCACTCCACATCTCCGTGTCCATCCTTTGATTTTGGACAGGTGAGTTCATTTCTCACGTGCCGAAAGACACTTAAGCTGTTTCCTCTTACGAACAACACTGCAGTGATTCTCTCTGCATGGGGATCCTTGTGTGTATGTTTCAGGGTTTCTCTAGGCTATGTAGAAATGAAATTTCTTTTTTAATTTTAAGTTTAGCGTCGTGGGAATACATGTGAGGATTTGCTATGTAAGTAAACCGCGTGCAGATGAGGTTTGGGCTTCTCGCGAACCCTCTCTCCCCCTGTGGTGGACATGGCACCCAGTGGGTGGTTGTGCGCCCTTCACCCCCTCCTTCCTTCGTCCCACTGGTAGTGCCCGGCATCCGTTGCTCCCACTTTTGTGCTCACATGCCCAATATTTAGGGCCCACGTATGAGTGAGAACATGTGGTATTCGATTTTTAGTTTCTGTAATAGTTCACACAGAATGATGGTCTCCAGCTGCATTTGTGCTGCCGCAAAGGACATGACTTTGTTCTTCTTTGTGGCTGCATAATATTCCATCATGTTTATCCCTTTGCACTTGGATGTGCCCTCTGAGGGGACATCATAAATCTAGCAAACCACTCAAATGTTCCCTCTCAGGGGACATAAAGAGATTGCGGGTGATTATAGAGGACAAATATATGCAAGCTCAAGTTTTTCAAAAATGTATGTTTCCTGGAAGTTTTCTGTTCAAAAACAATGAAAAACCCATGTCCCATTTGAAATGTGTCAAGCTTCTGATCGATCAGTTGAGAAGTGGTTTCAGGAATAAAAGTGTATCCTTCCACATCTTCTTTGAACAACAGACTGGACAATAAATTACATATTATTAATGTGGGAGGAAGAATGAGACTGCGCTGTCTGCTCGAATGGTAAAACACCAGATGGAAGAAGCCAAACAAATTACTATTGCACAACATGTATCAATGAACCTGCAATCCACGTCGGTGACTGTTTCACACATTACCACAGGTTAGAAAAACATAAGATATACAATTTTGATTTTTTTGATGTAAGTTCCTCAACATCTAAAATTCCATTATAAGTCAAATATTATAATAAAATAATTCATTCCAATGCTATACTATTTAATATGAAGTGAATTGTTTGTCACTATTTTGTAAAAAAGTGCAGTCAAGTTGCTGGTAGATGATCCATGAGGATTCTCCAAGTGTATCACATTTTCTGTATCCAGTCCACTTTCAACGGGCGTCTAGTTCCATGTTTTTGGTATTGTGACTAGTACTGCAGTGAACATACACGTGCAGGTGTCTTTTTGGTAGAGTGATTTATGTTCCTCTGTATATATATTCCCAGAAGTAGGATTGCTGGATCGTGTGGAAGCCCAATTTTTAGTTCTTTGAGAAAACGCCACACTGCTTTCCACAAAGGTTGGACTGGTTTACATTCCTACCCACAGGGTAGACTTACTCCCTTTTCTCTGCAGCCTTGCCAGTACCTGTTGTTTGACTTTTTAATGATGGCCATCCTGACTGGTGTGAGGGGTATCTCAGTGTAGTTTTGATTTGCATTAGAAATGGAATTTCTAGGACATAAGTTCTAATTCCAGTATTGCTCAGTCCTCCCTTCTTGTTCTTTGTTCATGAATTATGGAGCACATGAACGTTTCCATTTCCCTCATTCTCACCTGGACTTGACTTTAATTTTTGCCAGGCTGATAAATTTGTTTTCCTCTGCATCTCTGATTACTGGGGAAACTGGGCATCTTTTCAATGCTTCCGGGTGCCTTTGTCAGTCATTATTGACTCTTTGTATTCCAGTCTGACTGTAAGGTCCTAGAGGGAAGGGCTGGGTCTCACATTTAAGGCCCTCACAGGGCACACCCTGTCCAAGCATAGACCCTACCCTCCCTGCCTCACCCGTCTCTCCATCCTCCAAGCTTAGTGCACCTGCATCTCCCCAGACACATCATACCGGGTTTCTGAGCATATCATGCCCTCTCTCTGGAATGCTGTGCCTCTTCGGTCCACCAGAACACACCTACTCGTGTTCCAAGACTCATCTCAGGAGCCACCTCCTTCATGTACCATATGACCAGCACCCCACCCTGCCCCAGATAGAGGCAACCATGTGCTTTCGCTGGTCCCATATAAACATTTCACTGCGGGCATAGAACTTCTGAACACCGATGTACTGATGTATTCGTCTCCCCACCAGACTCTGTACTCTTTGAGGACAGGCGCCATGTCTTATTCATCTTTGCATTCCCAGCTGGTCAAGGCAGAGCAGAGGGAGATGCCAGCACGTATTAGCCAGATGTTTGGATAAGCCTCAAAGCCAGCTTCTTCCACATCAGACCTCTACAGACTGAGGACAGAGACTGCATTGCATTCTTATTGCTGTCCCCACTGTGGCCACCAGGGCTGAGTGTTTTTTGACACTGCAGTATGATTGCCCAATAGAGTAGAAAGTGGCTTTGGTCAGAAATTCCTAGGTTTGTATCCCAGCTTCCTACTGGCATGCTGTCATGCAGTTTCCTTGGCCTAAGCCCCAGTTTCCTCGCCTTCCCCAAGGAAATGATAACTGAACTGAGGACTGGAACAAGGATGTAATAAGGTTGTGTGTGCAAAGCATATGGCATGTAATCACATGCCTTTGACATGCCATCATGTCTCTGTTAGAGCAGTGCAGAATCTGCTTCAGCCATAGCACTTTGGGTAGATATTTGTTCAGGTGCCACATGCAATGGGCACGTAGTAGCTACTCAGTAAAGATGAAGTCTGGTTTTTCCAGCACCAAGAACAGTGCCTTGTAGAAATTAAGTACCCAATAGAGAATTTAAGCTTAACTCAACACCTGGCACCCAGTTCAGTATCAATAAATAGCAAGTCAAAGTGAGGTGCAGTGGCTCACACCTATAATCCCAGTACTTTGGAAAGCCAGGGTGGGAGGATTACTTGAGCCTGGGAGTTTGAGACCAACCTAGGCAACATAATGAGACTCCATCAGGACAAAAAAAAATTTTTTTTAAATAGCTGGGAGTGGTGGCACATGCTTGTAGATCCTGCTACTGGGAAGGCTGAGGCAGGTGGATCACTAGAACCCAGGAGGTCAAGGCTGTTGTGAGCCGTGATCGCACCACTGCACTACAGCCGGGGCAACAGTGAGACTCACACACATACACACACACACTACAAAAATCAAGTCAAATTCACTCTCCTTTTGTATGGCATCTTGATCCAAATGTATCACAAAGAAATCATTCCCTTTTGTGGGAAAAGGAACAGTTGGAGAAGTGGGCACACACATCTCCCCTTTTCCAGGCAGTGATTTTGATTTTTCCCTTTGCTTTTGATCTTTCCAAAGCAAGACGATCACTGGGACTGACTGTAATTTTGGTGGTCTCCAATGAACCACTCCTGCATACAGTAATGTTCTTGTGTAGTCTCCTCCCACAAAGTCTGGGCTTGACTATATGTTTCTCTGGGCCACAGGGACATTAACAAGCCAGTGCAAGGCTTGACAAACCCTCGTGCATTGCATCATGTCCCCTAAGAAGGCTCCTCTTGGCATCTGGTCACCATAGCAGAAGAAGCCCAAACTAGCCATAAGGAGAGGCCCCACAGGGAGAGAGTGGCTCTCGGCCAGCCCTCGGCCGTGGTACCTATTCCAGCTGTGGTGACCATTCAGCTGGGGTACCAGCAGATGCCACTTGGAGGATATGTGGGGCATACCCGCTGAGTCCTGCCCAAATTGCACAATCATAAGCAAATGATTGTGTCATTTTAAGTCAACAGTTTGGTGTGGTTTGGAACACAGAAAATAATAAATAACCCATGAGTAGAGAACATTCTGAGAGTGCAAATCAGTGATCTGGGGGTGGGGTGTACTATTGGCTTAGAGACCCGCCAAATTAAAAGCTTTGGGATCAATGGGAAGACAGATCTGTCTGACCCAGAACCCCCAGTCTCTGGGGGCTCTTCCCTGAGGCTCTGTTTCCCAAGTCCTCACCCTGTCATTACCAGGGATCTTGTCGACTAAGGATCCTTTCGGCAGTTTGAATGATGAGGAGATAGATGCTCAGACTCACATACAAGAAGTCCTCACATACAGGTGGGCGGCTTCTGGCCAAGTTGATGGAGTGGCCCAGTGAGGTCATGGAGGACCCAGACTGTGCTGCATGGTCTGCAGTTATTCTGGGCACAGAGTGCCTGCCAGGAGCAGTCTGGGTCGCATGGTTCCTCATTCAATACACCAGGAGGGAGCAACGCTGCCCAGCATTCCCAACTGAGAAAAGACTTTCCAACAAGACTCCACACACCCACCCTTTCCTCGCATTTCATTGGCCAACTGGAGTCACATGCCCATTCCCAAACCAATCACATTTTGTGTAGGGTTGGGTAAGGGAGGTAAGAGGTACCATGAGACCAGTCAAAACCACCACTAGATTGGCAGGGATGTATGTGTCCAGTTCTTCTGAAGTCCATGGTCCACAAGGAAGGGATGGATGTCTGGAAATATTAGCATTTGCTAGGGAGAGCATGCAGGGTAGGATCCAGCAGTGCCCACTACAGCACCCCTCCATACAGGGCATGTGGGACAAGCCAGACACACAGAGTTTGAGACAGAGCCATGCTCAGCTCTTATGTCCTCTCCTAGGATAATGGGGGAGGATGTGAAGGGGTGTGTGTGTGTGTGTGTGTGTGTGTGTGTGTGTGTGTGTGTGTGTGTGTAGGGGGAGATCTGGGGGATATTTGGATCCTCCAAACCTCTATCTTTCTTCAGTTGGTCTCTCCAACACCACACATCAGTCCCCACCCCAAGGTAAAGGGAGGCACCAGGCAGAGAAGGACTCAGATTTGTGCTATTCTTGTCAGCACTTTATTTGACTGGAGGGCACCTCTTCTGTGTCATATCTAGTACTTTGAGCTCTTGGTTTTGCTCTTTTCTCCATATTTCTCCTCTAGCGCTTTCTGCAAGTTCAGGTTCATAGCATTTTTCTGGTGCCACCGTCCTAGGGAGAGAAGGAGAGGAGCCAGCACAGATCACTCCTCTCTGTCTCTGGAGTGCCCCGGTCCCAGTGGTGACCTATACCACTTCCAAGTCCACCCCGGGACTATCTCCTGCCTCAGTTTCTCTCCAAACCTTAGAGCCAACAACCCTGCCATGGAGGAGAGTGCTGACCTCCCATCACCCCAGTGACCCCGCTTACCCAGATCATCCGTCTTCCTGCCATGCCAGTGTTCTATGTCCCTCACTGATTTCTCAATCACTTCCGGTGTGTAAGAAGCCTTCATGAGGCTCTTTGGCTCCTCAAGGGCCCCTGTGGAATACCATGAAGAATTCCCCAGGTAACCAAGTCAACAGAAGTTGGGTACTCCATGGTTTATACTGGGCATCTGTTTCCTCTGTGAATGGTGGATTGTGGAAGGGAAAGGGAGTGGGGAGGGTTTCAGAGTAAAGCAGGTGTGGGTTCAAGCCCCAACTCTATCATTTATGGGCAGTATGGCCTCAGGCAAGTTTTTAACTTCTCTGAGCTTCAGTTTCTTTATCTATATAAAGAGATAAGATTTTCTTGCAAGGTTGGGAAGATTAAATTATTGGACATTTATTGGGACATCTAGCATGTGGAAACTAATACCTACAATTTCAGAAAATTTATCCCCATATAAAAAATTTAAAGATGCACAAGAAAATAAGTTACCATGATCAAGTCAGCAGAAATATCAAATAGAGGACCAAATCTCAGAAGTTAGCAAGGATTTGAATAGTCAGAGACAGAATATAAAAGTGGTATATTTAATGTTTGAAGCCATAAAAGAGAGAATAAAAATATAAAGGTAAAGAATAAAAAATCATCCAGAAAGAAGAGATAGATTAGTAAAAGATGCAAGTGAAATTTCAGAAATGAAACATAATAATTTTAAAAGTTAAGCTCAGCAGATGATAACATGCCTGGTATTTTCTTTGAAATAATCTTTCAAAGTTCAGTGGATGATAACATGCCTGGTATTTTTCTTGAAATAATCTTGAGTGGGGATACATGGGTAGGGGGGAGAAAAGATGAAACAAGATTGGCTATGTATTAATCACTGTTGATATGGGTGATACATGCAACATCTAATTACTAATTTCACTACTTTGTCATAAGTTTGAGAACTGACATCATAGAAGCTTAAAAAGAACTTTTGTGGACAGGTAAAATAACAGAACAAATACAGCTGAGAGAAAATGACAAAATGGAAGCTATTTCTAAAGAAATTACCACGAGGATGCAAACATGGGTGGGGGAAAGATGTGGAAAATCCCAAAGAGATTTTAAGATGTAGGTTAAATGAGAAACCCCAACACATGTCTAATTGGAGGTCCAAAAGGTCAGACTACAGAAAATGGGCAGAGGTGATATTTGAAAAAATAATGGTAAAATGTTTCCATCCCTAAGATGTGAATTCTTAGATTCAAGAATCATAATTCTCCAATCAGGGTAAGTAAAAAAAATTCTTTGTCTAGGCGCATACAGGTAAAATTTAGAACACCAGAGGCAAAGAAATGTTAGAATTAGCCAAATTACTCACAAAGAATAACAGCTGATTTGATTCACCATCAAAGACAGAAAAAAAAATAGATCAATATCAAAGTGCTAATAGAAAACAATCAACAATCTAGAACTGTTTATAGTATAACTGTCTTCCAAGAGCAAGGACAAAACAGACTTTTCTGACGGAGTCTACAGTTTACCAACAACAAAATGTCACTAAAAAAACACCTTCTAAACATACTTTAAGAAAAAAAGAAAATCCCAGAAGGAAAGTCTGAAATACAAGAAGAAATGATAGTCCAAGAAAATGGAAACTAAGTAAATCTAAATATGTATTCACTATAATAACAGCACCAGTATCTAATTTATGAAGCCAAATGATGATGATGATTCATGATGGCTAACCATTTTTGAAGATTTACCATGTACTAAGCACAGTTCTAGGAGCTTCACATGAACTTACTCATTGAACCTTCTCAACAATCCTAAGATGTAAATATGATTATTATTCTCATTTTACTGTTGAAGTCATTGAAGCCCAGAGAAGTTAAGTAACTTGTCTAAAGTCACACAGCTAACAAGTAAGATCTAGCACTCAAACCCAGACCCTGTGACTCCAGGTTCCACAGCTTAAACTGCTTGCGTATAATTAAAAGTCTATAAAATAATAACATGTAAACTGAGATGACAGAGAATAACTGAAGTTGAAGCCTTCTAAGCCCCTTCTAATGGTCAGGAAAATGTCGATACCTAGATGAACTTTACAATGTGTTAACACAAGAAAATGTCAAAGGCAACCACTAAAATAATAGGAAGAGTAGAAAAGGACAAATACTGGATTGATTTTAAAAAAAGAAGAAGAAGAAAAGAAAGCTCATTCAAGTCCAAAACAAGAAATTAAGAGGAAGAAGCTACCTAGAAAAAACAGCACAAATAGAAAACACAAAACAAGGTCATGGAAATAAATCCAAGCATATCAGTAATTCAAATATATATAAATGTACTAAGCCCACTGATTAAAAAAACAGATTATGAGACTACAGGAAATGTTCTTCAGACTACATCATTTAAAGCATACTTAAAAGGACACAAAAAGAAGAATGGATGGAAGAATATAAAAAGACACACCCAGCAGATGCTAACCCAAAGCAATCTAGTCTAGCTATGTTGATATCAGACCAAATTGATTGTAAGGCAAAGGCACTATGAGAGATAAAAATGATTGCAACTCACTAAAGTGAGGTCACGATTCTAAACTTGCTGCACTGAAATAATCTCAAAGTAGATAAAGCAAAATTGGCTGAACCACAAGGAGAAATCTGGGGTCGTAAGATTCAAAGATACATCTTTTAGTAATTAATAGATCAAGCAAAGAGTATTAATAAAGAATCAGAAGATTTGTAAGGAAATAAATAACAAAGCCATTCTATTAGACAAGTACCGACTCTTGTACCCTAGAGATTATTTTCAAACACATACAGGTCATCTACAAAACGTAGACTCTTGTACCCTAGAGATTATTTTCAAACACATACAGGTCATCTACAAAACGTAAACTGCTAGGCTGTCCAGCAAGGATCATCCACTTCAAAGGCCTGAAATCATTACAAGCTATGCTTTTTAATGATGATACCATCAAGCTAGGAGATGTGTTCCACCCCCCAAACCAGAGAGTAAACCAAGAAAGAGGAAGACACAGAACAGGGAACATGAGAAGTCTGACACTGAGAAAAGGGGAAGGCTGCTTCCACGATCCCCAAAACCTCAACACGGAGGGAAATGTTAAAACATGAAAATGTCAAAGGCGACCACGAAAAAATAGAAAGAGTAGAAAAGGACAAATACTGGATTGATTTAAAAAAAAAAAGAAAAGAAAGCTCAGATGGGGTTCACAAAACTCTCAGGGCAGCAAAGGTCAGACGAGAGCCCGGGGTGGGATCTGTCCACCTTCTTCTTTGATCCTTGAACTGTGGCAGTGACAGTCGCCTCTTGCACATTTATTTTGTGTTTAACAAATGTTTTCTATGTGCCAGATTCTAAGAACTGTACAAATATTAAAACAACTTATTCTGTTAACAACTCTATAAGGCAGGTGCTATTACTATTCCCATTTTCCAGAGGAGGAAACTCAGGTGCCAAGGGAAAGAGTCACGTGATCCGGGGGGTGGGGCACAGCCTGGATTCAGACTCCCGCTGCAGGGCTTCCGGCCTGTGTTCCCTGTACCTGTGCAAGGCTGTCCCCCAAACCCGACGTGTCCCACAAGCTCCCCCATCTCCTCCAGGTTCTGCATTTGCTTCCCCTGCCTTCCCAGACAACTCCGCTCCGTATTCCAGGCCCTAGGTCATCTTTGACTTTTTTCTCCCTACCCCTCCACTCCAAGCTCAATCTCTCAAGAAATGTGATTCACTCTGCCTTCCACATACACACAAAATCCAACCACTTGTCCCACCTCCAGGGCCACCACCCTGGTCTCCCTGCTTCTACTATTGTGCCGCTGTGTTCTGTTCAGTCTCAACACGGCAGCCAGTTGGATCCTTTCGAACATTAGTTACTCCTCTGGACAAAATCCTGCAGTGGCCCCAGGAAAAAGGCAAGTAAGAGCCCATGTCATCCTCACAGTCCTCCCACCTGACTGCTCTTCCCCCAGGAATCCACAGGGCTGACCCTCTTCTTCCTTCGAGTCTTCCCTCAAATGTCACCTGCTCTGTGTGCTCTATACTGACTGGGCTCTTTGACATAGCTCAGAGGTTCATGCTTAGGGGGTGACACCACAAGATAAGCAAAGGGATTATTAACAACAGTCAGACACAGGCCGAGCGTGGTGGCTCATGCCTGTAATCCCAGCATTTAGGGAGACCAAGGAGAGAGGATTGCTTGAGCCCAGAAGTTCGAGACCAGTCTGGGCAGCCTAGTGAGACGTCATCTCTACAAAAAAAATCAAAAATTACCCTGGCGTGGGGCACACACCTGCAGTCCTAACTACTTGGGAGGCTGAGGTGGAAGGATCTCTGAAGCCTAGGAGTTGGAGGCTGTGGTAAGCAATGATCACACCACTGCACTCCAGCCTGGGCAAAAGAGTGAGAGTCTCTCTCTCTCTCTCTCTCTCTCTCTCTCTCTCTCTCTCTCTCACACACACACACACACACACACACACACACACACACACACACACACACACACAAGTCAATCACAAGTCAGTGCTGAGGCCAATAGATATCCAGGAGCTCTGCTTTTCCCTGGGAAGCTGCAAATGGCTGTCTAGCATTATTCTTTCAACTGCACACATAGGTTTTATACATGTTCCTGTATGGGTGGTAGTTTTCATAATTTAAAAAGATAAACCTATGCTGATTAAATATGTTTTATTTAATATTTATTTAATTATTTAATATTAGGAAATCAGTTCACATAATTTACTGGATCAACAGATCAAGGGAAAAAAATCATATGATCATCCAAATAACTGCAGCATAAATAGTCAGTAAAACTCAACATCTGTTATAATTTTTTAAAATGTTAAAGTGCAAACTAGTAATAAAGGGAGACCTCCTTTACCCAAAAGAAGGTGTCTTCCAAATTCTTTTTAAAACATTGTACTTATGGTTCAGTGTTAGAACCAAGAAGAAGAGATAAGGACACCTGTTTTTGCTGTTTATCAGCACTGTTGAACTGGACAAGTCAGCCAGGCACTGGTTCAAAGGTGGAAAAAAATCTCTTGGTTAAGAATGTGAACCCTGGCCCCTGAGTGGCAGAGTTTAAGCCCCTACTACTCTGACCATTCTCACCTGTGTGGCCTTAAGCAAGATATTTAATCTTTCTATGCCTCAATTTTTTCTGTCTGAAAAAGTGGGAATTATATAGCACTTATTGACAGAGTTACTGTAAAAATTTGAATGCATATACTTAGGCAGTGCCTGGCACATTCACGTGCTGTACATAAATACAGACATCATTATTAAAAAGAAGTCCCAGAGACTACAAATAATTATTGGAATTAGTAGGAGAGCCAGGCAAGGTTAGTATATAAGATAAATATACAAAAATAAAAGTTGCATCTGTGTATACAGTACCAGCAGCAGAGTTAGAGAATGCAATTTTTAAGAAGATATCATCTGCAATAAGCAGCAAAAAAAAAAAAAAATTAAGAGATTCTACACTAGGCACAGTAGCTCATACCTGTAATCTCAGCACTTTGGGAGGCGGAGACAAAAGGATTGCCTGAGTATATGAGTTCAAGACCAACCTGGGCAAGTTGGCGAGACCTTGTCTCTACAACAAACCAAAAACTCAGTTGGATGTGGTTTCAGCTACTTCCTTGGAAGGCTGAGGCAAAAGGATTGCCTGAGCCCAGCAGGTGGAGGCTGTGGTGGCTGTGAGCGGGCCACTGCAACAGAGTGATGGGCAACAGAGTGATGCTCCAACTCAAAAAAAAAAAAAAAAATTAAGAGATTGTCCCAAACAAATCTAATAAAAATTGCATGATCTTTATAGGAAAAAAAAATTACAAAATGTAATTGATAGATATTGAAGGAAGATCTAAATGAATGGCGCTATGTGTCATATTTATAGTTTGGAAATTCATTATCATAAAACTGACAACTTCCCCTACATTGAGCTGTAGATTCAGTGTGCTTCCAGTCAAACTCCCAACATGGCTTTTCATGGAAATTTCCATGTAAAATTTATATGAAAGAGTAAAGACCTAGAAACTCAAGACGTTAACTGGTGATGGCCGTGGAGAGGTGGTAGGGGGAGTACTTCCCAGTCAGACATCAGACGACTTATAGCACCTTGGTAATTAAAAGTGTCATATTAGACCATGGACAGAATGGAGAGCCTGGAAACTGATCCATGCACATGTGGAAACCGGACAGACAACAGAGGTCACCGCAGGTCGGCGGGAACAAGATGGGTCTTTTTAATAGGACGTGCTGAGACAGTAGGTAATCTACATAAAGGAGGAATTAAAAGCGAATCCTTATGTCATACTAAATACAGAAATCAACTCCAGGTGGATTAAAGACTTAAATGTGAAAAACAAAACTAAATATCTTAGAAGACTATATAAGATGATCTCTGTGACTCAGCATGGGATAGGATTTCTTAACCTTCTCCTGCCACCTTCTCTATCTCAGAAAGTAGCAACGCCACATGTCCAGTTGTTCAAGGTCGAACACCTTGAAATCAGCCTTAACTCCTATCTCTCGCTCTCAGATTCATTCATTAGCATATTCTGCTCCATCCAGAATCCTGCCACATCCAGCCATCTTTGCTATGATGCCCGAGATGCCATACTGCACAATGTTCAGAATTGTGGGGCGCACCAGCCCAGCTCCTGAAACCAAGCCACCCATCATCTGTCCCAGCTGGAGATTTGCTCTTGCCTCCTCACTGGTTTCCCTGTTTCTGCCCCAGCTCCCGAGATCTATTCTCAACACTGTTCCTTTAGCCTAGGCCACTCAAGGCCATTCATTCTCCTGCTGAAAACCCCGGCTTGGTTTCTCATCGCTCAGAGCTGTCAGTGGCTTTCACGACCTCGTCTGCTGCTTCTCTGATTTCTCCTCCCTCAGTCCTGTGCAGCCAAGCATCTCCAACCTCGCACAGCCAGCGCAGAGGATAACGCTAGGCAGGTGCAGACAGAGTGGGAGGCTAGACAGGCACACCGACAGTGGTGTGAAGCCCTGCCGATTTCTGCCGATTTCTGGAGTGTAAATACTACTCCCATGGCCAGTTGTAAGACAGTGTTTATATTCCAGTCAGTCCAGGAAAATTCATTAATAGACTCTTGTGAGCTGGTGCAAGCTGGTATGAGCTGGTTGGCTCCAGCACCTGCTTGGCACAGCTCTGCCTCCTAGGTTGGGTGATGGCTGCACAGACTCTTTTAAAAAATATTATTATTTTGCATTTATGTAGATATGATCAATAAGGCTGTATGCATGCATAGATATTTGGTGATAATTGTTAAAAAGAAAAGAAGGTAGACTCCTAGGGCCCAGAACAGAGGGCAATCTGAGCTGTATTCTTGCTTCCCTCCCCCAGCACCACCCCTTCTCCAAGCTCAAAGACAAACCCAGAAAGGCTTTCAGTGGGTGTCAGGTTCCCTGGGTGACAGGGACGTGAGCCAGGTGGAGGTGTGCCAGGCCCTGGGCACACTGGAGAGGGCCTGGAGTGAGGAGAGAGGAAGAAGCAGGGCTCAGAAAGATCCTCACTTTTGACTGAGCACCATGGCTTACACCTGTAATCCCAGCACTTTGGGAGGTCAAAGTGAGAGGATAACTGGAAGTCAGGAGTTCAAGACCAGCATAGACAACATAGCAAGACCTCATCTCTACAAAAAAAATAGAGAAAAGCCGGACATAGTGGCGTGTGCCTGTGGTCCTAGCTACTAGGGAAGCTGAGGCAGAAGGATTAGGAGGTCAAGACTATGGTGAGCCATGGTTGTGCCACTGTACTCCAGCCTGGATGAGAGTGAGACCCGACTCGATAAATAAATAAACAAACAACAAAAGACACAGGTGAGCAACTGGGAACCCCTTGGGATAGGGTCGTAGCTAGGGAGGTGACCTAGTGTGATGCCCCGATTGCAGGAACCCCTTCTTTGGAGGCAGAAATAAAACCTGGATTTGAGTTCCAGACACCGCAACTCCTAAGTGATCTCGCATCTGCCTGTGAAGTGGATCTCCCAGCACTGCCCCAACCAGGCAGGGATATGTGGCCCACGGGAAACCCTCTGTACATGTCAGGGCTCCCAGCCCACACCACCTTTCCTCCCAGGTGGTGCCACTCCTGGGCTCTGGGAAAGAAAACTGATGGCCTGACAGCTACTGAGCACTCACTCGGTGACACCGGCCCACCGCCCTCATGCGGCATACGAAGTGTTCTGCCAATGCTACAGTGAGGGCCACGCTTTCATTATCATCCCCGTTGTACTAAGGCAGCAGAGGCTGGGAGAGGTCAAGGATCCCACCTAAGGTCCCACGCAGCTAGGGAGTGGCTGAGCTGAGCTTCCAACCCAAGAGACCTGACACTGTCACTGTGGCCATAGGTGCCCAGGCCAGGGGTTCCTGCTCCTCCTCTTGGCAGACTAAGAAACCAGAGATGTCTTGGGGCATGAGGGGCTGACTGCCCCCAGGGCTGTGTTGTCTCCACAATGAGGACAGACTTGCCAGGGGATGGGCTTTCCCAGCACCCGCCCGACAGAGCCTGGCATAGAGGATGCCCTTGCTGGGGGTGAAATGAATGTGGAAATGTGTCCTGGGTCCTAGATCCCCAATGGGTGGGCACCCCAAAAGCCTTCCCTGCCCAACACCTTGGAGACCATGATGCTCACGGCCCTACCCTTGCCCTTTGACCTGACCTTGAAACAAGTTTGACCGCATGTTATAGCCTAGATCGTAGTAGTCTGAGAGGATGGAGGAGATTTCCATGGGACTCTGGGTCCTGCTGGGCCACGAGCTTGCCCTTTTCTGGCTCTGGAAGCCTTCACCAATAGCCCTTCGAGCCTGAGGGGGGGAGACAGGGAGAAGAGATGAGGGATGGGAAAGGAGAGTGGAGCCCCATAGCTCCCCTCCAACTCCTCCTGCCCCAACTCTGCCCTCCCCATTCTCTCCCCCACCCTCAGTCTGTAGCCCTCACCCAACCCTACCTGGGGAACCAGAGTAGTCAAAGGCCCCACCCCTACTCTGTTCCATCTTCCCCTAGACCTCACAATGGGTCGAGGGCATCAGGGATGATAATGGCCCTAAAACCTCCTCCAAACATTGAGCACTTTCTCTGGGCAGCATCAGGAGGGTCTTTATAGGGAGCACCATTCCCATCATTTTATAAACAAGGAAACTGGGCCTCAGAGGCCAGAGATTGCCCAGGTCACTCAGTTGGCAAGCCTCAGACCTCCAGCATGCCTCCTGAAATTGAGGCATCACACACATCAGCTCTGGGTGACTGCTTAGCTTTCATTGAGGCTGACTCCTTCTTTGTGCCCATGGGGATACTGAGGCCCAAAGAATCTGAGCCCAGGTCTAGGGGGAGCAGTGCACTGGGTTTGAGTTTCAATTCTGTCATCTACCATCTGCTGACATTGGCAAGTCTCTTATTTCTCTCTGGGCCTCAGTTTCCCTACTTGTAAAATAATGTGAGTGAAGGGCAGATCTGGATGGTCTTTGAAGTAGCTTTTGGCTCTGACCCTTGCTGGCTCAATGACATTGTGGCCTGTGCCACAACTGGGCAGAAAAACAGGATCTCTTGATTTGAGCCCAGGACAATGGTGGCAGAAGAGAGAAAGGACATCGTCCCAAGGCCAAGAAGAGGTAGCGACCATACAGTCAACCTCAAACTGGGGCAAAGTCCTCTAAGTAGGGCAAACGTTTAAGATTGTGACCTCCCAGGCTTTCTGGTGGTGAAGTCACTGCACTTTAATATGACAGAGTGGAAGGGGAGCCCAGAAGAAGTCTGACCCACAGTCTTTGTGACCCTAAGAAGATCATATCACCTCCTTGGACCTTGGTGTTACCATCTGTTGTAAAGAAAGTAGTAACTCCTGCCTGGACTACCACACAATGTTGTTGCCCTGAGGGTTGAGATGGTGGCTTTGAAAATATGTCTCAGAGTGCCACAGCAGGAAGAACACAACATTTCAGTAGAAATGGCAGATAAATTTCATCTCAAGTTTCACTTGATTAGTGGTGACTGCCTAGAATGGCATATCAGGTAGGTGAGAATGCCAGCATTGATTAGCAATGTCTGCCGTGAATGCAGGTTAGGGGAGCTGTGATGTGCAAGTCAAATATTTGTCAGATTGATCTAGTCCAACTGCCTCACTTTACAGACATAGAGACTGAAACCCAGCAAGGGGAAGTAACTTATCCAAAGTCACCCAGCATTCAAGGGCAGAGCCAGTATTAAAACCCAGTTCTTCCCAATAAATGCTGTCCATCCACTTGATGCTGTCTCCCTTGGAAGACTTATTCAGATTGAAAACATCCAATTCAAACAAAAGACTTTTATCACAGAGTCATTAAAGGCCAGGGATCCAGAATCTGCCAACCTGGCTTGCATCCTCATCTCACACCACTGGGTGAGTTTGGTTACCTGGCTTAACCCCTCTAAACCTCAGGCTCCTGACCTGTAACATGAGGGTCGCCTTAGTACCTTTCTCATGGGGCTATTGGGAAGACTGGACGGGTCATTACATGTGCAGGGTCTGAATAGTGCATTGTGCCTGGCATACAGCAGGTGCTCAGTGAACACTGTTTAGTGATGTGACTGCAGGAACACTGCTCTCAAGAGTAGGCTTCTTTTGTGTCCTCTTTGAAAGTCTCCATGTGTAACCCTTATGCTGCCTATAGCCGATGGGGGTCCCACTTTGACACCTGCTCCTCGGAGACCAGCTGGTCCACCACGCTGCTCCCAAACTTGTGGCGAATGTTGTCAGGAATGACGCTGTCCTTCTGGCTCCCAGGCTTGCTCCCCTGGGCCTGCGCCCCCACGTTGGGGCCCCTGTCTGGCCCTTGACATGGCTGAGCCTCCCCCTGGAAGGTGACCCTGTTCTCTCTCGAGGAAGATCTGGAGCCCCCCTTCTGTGGGTCCATCTCCAGAGAGCCCCTGCTGACAGCAGAGGGAGGCGGAGGGCGGATCTCCTCCCTAGGGCACTGCTCTAGGGGGCTTCCCTGGGTGCTGCCTCCCCAGGGCAGACACGGTTGCTGCTGCTGCGGAGAGAGCGGGTCCTGGTGCTTGAACTTGGAGGAGTCCGAGGAGCTGCAGGCAGTTTTCCAGGGATCCACATCCTGCTGGCTCTCCTTGTTGCTCAGATGGGCCCCTGTCAAACCTGTTGTACCTGAACAGGGGAAAGAGTGACAGAGGGAGGGAGAGACACACAGACATAGCAAGTAGAGGGTAGAAAGAGGAGTGGAGACAGAGTGGGAGGGGGACAGACAAGTACAGAGCGCCAGAGATCCAGAAAGAAAAGAGAGGAACAGGGAGAAATCACAGAGTCAGAGGCATGGGTGAGGAATAAGGAGACATGCAAAAGGAGGAAATATTCAGCCCACCAAACCTCCATGGGACAGTGTTCTTCCACATTACCCTGGATAATGGGGGCTGCAGCCCAAGCCCAGGTAGCCTTGATGCCTAGCTGTGTGGCCTTGAGCAAGGGATTGGCCTCTCTGTGCGTTTGCTTCCCCTGCTCCATTTAGTTAGCTCCCTTCCCCACCTGGAACCCCCTAGTAGTCCAGGGAGGGAATCAGCAGCTGGGGTGGGGAGGGATTTGAGGGTCTGGCAGAGGTACTCTTTGGGTTGGCCAATGACACTCAGAGTTGGATCGGAGTCTCAGTCTTTGCTCCCCAATCAGAGCTGCTTCCCAGCTCAGACTCTCTGTCTTCTCTAGGGCTGGTCAGGAGGTGCCCATCCAGCCACCTCCTGGGCTCTCTGCCCCCACGTTCTTCCACCCCCTACCCCCCACCC